CTCAAGAACCCTAACCGTCTCCAGAAAAATACCGATTTCAAATTCTTCGTATTCAACGATCTGAGCCTCTTCGGGTTTTAATTCTCTTTCCTTAAATGGTTTAGAATTTGTGATCTAAATGGAAGCTGACGTGTCAATTGTATGAAAACAAAAAAACCCTTATCGACAAAATTTCCAAGGAAAAAAACTGAAACTTTTTTTTTTTTTCCGATTTGTGAAGAAAGGAGGTTAGGGACGATGATGAATCGTGCTCTGCTCTTACTATTACACGTTATTACTGTTTCTTGCGTTGTAGCATCAGGCAAAGTGATTTTGACGATGAAGAACAACATCACTCGCTCTTTTGATGACATCGAAGCTAATTTCGGTGAGTTCTCTTCTCCGATTTGCCTTAAAGCTTCGATTTTTCATGAAAGAACAGAGTCTATAACAATAATAATTTAAAGGGTTTTTTGAGTTTGTAATTCGGTCAACGCAGTGTTTGTTCATATCTTATTGAAAAAGGAGAGATTTTGTTAATTGGGTAAATTTTTGCAGCCCGTTCAGTGAAGACTACAGGTGAAATTGGAATACTTTATGTAGCAGAGCCTCTTGACGCTTGTCGGAATCTGATGAATGAACCAGAACAGAGCTCAAATGAAACTTCGTCCCCTTTTGTGTTGATCGTAAGAGGAGGTTGTAGTTTCGAAGAGAAAGTAAGAAAAGCTCAAAGAGCTGGTTTCAAAGCTGCTATTATCCATGACGATGAAGACCGTGGAAGCTTGATTGCAAGTAAGGAAACCAAAATTCTTCTCAGTTTTTGTCTTTGATCTTGATGACATTTTGATTCATGCTTGTGTTTTGGGGAATTTTCAGTGGCAGGTAACTCTGGAGGTATCAAGATTCATGCTGTTTTCGTTAGTAAAGAAACGGGACAAGTGTTGAAGGAGTCTGTGGGTTTGCCTGATGCGAAAGTTTGGTTGCTTCCGAGTTTTGAGAACTCGGCGTGGTCGATTATGGCGGTTTCATTCATCTCGCTGCTTGCAATGTCAGCTGTTCTCGCTACTTGTTTCTTTGTCCGTAGGCATCGTATAAGAAGGCGAACATCTCGGTCCTCTAGAGTCCGTGAGTTTCACGGTATGAGCCGTCGTTTGGTGAAAGCAATGCCGAGTCTTATATTCACTTCGGTACATGAAGACAACAGTACTGCATTCACTTGCGCTATCTGCCTCGAAGATTACAATGTTGGCGACAAGATCAGGCTCTTACCTTGCTGTCACAGTGAG